GCCTAAGGCTAAGGCTAAGGCTAAGGCTAAGGCTAAGGCTAAGGCTAAGGCTAAGGCTAAGGCTAAGGCTAAGGCTAAGGCTAAGGCTAAGGCTAAGGCTAAGGCTAAGGCTAAGGCTAAGGCTAAGGCTCTGTAGACCTAGGGCTCTGTAGAGTAGCTATCGCTAGAAGAGTGATAATCGCTAGACAATACTCGGCAGAGGGAAGGGATCAGAGTGAGTGTTAAATAGTGAGGGAGTGATATGAAGCAGCTGGGTGCAATCAGTGTAAACAGCTGTGTGCAATCCGTGCTGAGTGCAATCAGTGCAATGCATGATGGGAAATGTAGTCCGGGGTGATGTGCAACAGTGTGTAGTGCGAGAGTCAATGAAATTGGAAGTTCATGGGCCGGATTCTTAGATGGTATGTTTTTTTTCAGATGGATTAGCTTTTTATCCATGTCTTCTACTCCAACATAGTGATGCAGTGAATCAGAAAGAGACCTGTTTATCAAACACAGCACAGACTTTTTGGCATCAGCCCGTCAAACATTCCTTTACCTGCTTAAGCAAAACAAGTCTGACGTGCACTGACATGTTGCAGAAGAATCAGGCCAAGCATCTTAATGTCAGACAAGAGGTCTTACAGTCCATGAGCTTCATTACCAAAAAAAAAAAAACTAAAGCCTGCAGGGTCAAAATGCAGAACTTCCTGATGTTCATAGTTACTAAAGACTAAGTCGTTAGTTAACCATTTTTCCTTTTTTGCTTGTGCCTGTCTTTACAGAGAGTATGTTTCATCTTGATCTCATGTCACCTTTTGAGGTTGAATAGGATTATATTGTCTGTTTATTAAAGCATATAAAACAGGCCTAAACACTGAGTTATTTGTGGTAAGCTGAATTCTTGAGAGAGAAAAACATGCATACGGATTCTACTAAAAGTATTCTCACAGTTATAAAGTATTTAGATGGTTCACCCAAAAATGTAAATTTGCAGAAAATTTACTCCCCCTTAGGCCAATGTAGATGAGTTTGTTTTTTAATCAGAACAGATTTGGAGAAATTTAGCATCCCATCACTTGCTCACTAATGAATCCTCAGCAGTGAATGGGTGCCATCAGAATGAGAATCCAAACAGCTGATAAAAACATCACAATTTTTCACACGACTCTAGCAGGGTTGCAAAGGGGTGGAAAATTTCAGGTAAATTTTTCGGAAACTTTCCAAAAATCCCTGGAATATTCAAAAAAAAAAATCCTGGAAAGTTTCCAAAATTTCGGGAATATTTCCGAAATTTACTGGAAGTTTTCCACCTTTTTGCAACCCTAGACTCCGATCAATCTTGTGAAGTGAAAAACTGCATATTTATAGGAAATATCACAATCAAGCACCATTTACAAGTGAAAACCATCCAAAACAGTTCTAAACGAATATGTATTTTGATGTGAGAGGACAACGCTGGAGGAAGCATTATTATGGATTTTTGTCTCGCGTTTTGGCCAGATGCAACATTTTAAAGTTAAAACCTCTTAATAGTGGATTTGTAACTTAAAAACACACAGCTTTTCACTTCACAAGATGTTAATTGATGGACTGGAGTGGTGTGGGTTACTTGTGGATTATTGTGATGTTTTGACTCTTATTCTGACGGCACCCATTCACTGCAGAGGATCCAAACCTGTTCTGATGAAGAAACAAACTCTATTTAGATGTCCTGAGGGTGAGAACATTTCCATTTTTGGGGAAATTTAACTTTAAGTATATAACGGCAAGATGCAAGGCAGCAGCCAAAGACGCCATCAACAGACATTTACAAACCATGCAATCCTTTGTGTTTGCCGCTCCTGTTGCAGATACCAGCATTGCTATTTTTTTTTGCTATTACTTTGTATGCGTGTTACAGGTGTGTAAAGAATTCACTGTGTTTGTTTAGTCGTCAGACTGGATTCCTGTTCACAGCATACATGCCCAACAAATAGACGGTTTTCTTTCAGGCTATTTTCCTCCCTTCCGCCTTATATTCTTTATCACCTGCTATTTTGTTTTTTGGTTTTAGGTGGCATTTACACTTATGGGCTGACAAGCAGGTTTTGAGAAGTGTGTGCTATACCCAGTATCTCTTGCATTGTTATCTTATATCAAATCTCTTTGAACTGAACTGTGTTTCCATGCAGGCTCTTATATTGTGTATTACCTATTGTGTAAAAGTGATGCCTTTGTTCCTGTTCGTCAGATTTGCTGTAGGACAGAGATAATTATGCAAATTGAAAAATAAGCGACTTCCCTTTCTTATCGAATCGTGCAGCATGCTGAAAATGTTTGTGGCTCAAATATTGGCACAATTTTTTTTTGTTATTTTTTGTTTTAAATTTCAAACAAAACAAAGTCCACAATAAAGCTCTGAACTTTCAAAATCAGTCAAATCAGATATCAAAATATTAAACAAATTCTACAGAACACAGAAAAATGTAGTATATTTGTAATCCTGTATATATATTGTTATAATATCAATGATCAGCCATAAAAAAATTGAATTATTGTAATTAGTCAGGATTGGTCAAAAATTGACAATGATAATCTGTATATCGATAATGTGTTTGACAAAAAAAAACATCTCAATTCTGATTACTTTGAATGCAATTTTAAGATGAGAGCCATAAAATGAGATGGACTGCTTTCTGTAACTGTATTTCATTTTGCATATTATATAGACGTGATCTGCATGATCAGTATCTGTGTCCACACCTCCATCTGAATCATATTAGGCCGCTAGCGACTCGGGGCCGTACAATAGAGCCACTGTATGAAGTGCTGTCAGTCAAACATGCATGTGCACATGTTCCTCTCTGAAGACTGGGTGTGTGTTTCACATTAAGTTCAATATTTGGTCAGTACGAGTGAAAATCAGAGAGCTGTGAAAATCTGTAGAACGGCAATTGGAAGTTTGAACGTTTTACTGTGAACCTGTCACACTAGCTATCTCTCCGCTTTTAGTCTTGTAATCTTGCTTCCAATGCTGTCTGCTAAAATTAACTCTCACAAACACAACTTTGCTATTTTTGAAGCTTACGCATGACCAGTTCAATTAAAAAAATATGACATGGAAAACATAAAAGCATCCTGATCCTTTCAAAGTTAACAAAAACACTAAACAGTAACAATAATCCACAAAAATGATGATGACTGATGGATCGTGCCACCCAGGCTGTGCTGTGCGGTTTGTTTGAATATTATCCTTTGGAATCATCTTGATACACAAAAGGCTTCCTGTTTACTGGAATACAATACCCCATACATGCTGTCTGTGTTTGTGTTTGAAGAGAGTTCAGCTGATAAAGTAGGAGTGTTTTTGTGTGAAACTGAGTGTAAGCATGTGTGCCGCCCACACAGGAAGTATCATTGACGAACAACAGGAAAAGCTCTGATGGGGAACTCTTCAGGGACCCTTAGAGTCCATTCCTGATTGAATTTCTTTCCTTTGCTGTTCTTATTTCTTTTTTTTTCTCATCGACACACAAATGTTGTTAGTAGTGATTGCTAGGGCTGACGAGAAGTGTGCTTTTAGGTCTCTAAGTGATTGGACTCTATTTTCACCTGGTGGTCAATAGAACTCTTTTGATGTGGCCTAAGAAGCAACCACTAAGAAATGGGTTAAAATCACCTTGCCAACCACCTACAACACCCTAGTGACATGGTGGTGAGTTTTACACAAGAAAATTCCATTAATATTTTCTATGTAAAGCAGTTTCTGAGATCTTAATTTTTATGAAGATTCTTTGATAAGTTGTCGTTTATTTATTTATTAACAAATAGCAAATATAGTGGAGAGTGTATGAAATAATAGGTAGAGAAGGGGAACGAACTTGGGAAAAGTTGCACAGACACGAATATGCCTAACCCTAAATAAACTAAAACTGCTTTAAAAATACAATACAGACTTAAAAAAAAAAAAAAAAAACGAATACAATTATTAACACAACAAAATTAACTAAAATTAAAGTGAAAAAATATAAAAAGTCAAATTCAGTATATTAGCAAAAACTATAGTAGTATATCAATGATACTAAAATAACAGGAACAGGAGAATGAACAGGAGAATGTGGTTTCATTCTAAACATTTTTTTTTTCTTTTTTTTTTTAGAGTGACAAAATCAAGCATATCATTAGTTCTGGCAGGTCACATCAGTCAAGCTCGCATCAGCTGACTCTCAGCTGGTCACCATCTACCTGTCCCTTCTCCATCCCCAGCTCCTCCTCTTATCCAGTCAGGATTTGACGTTCTGATTCTCCTTTGAATCAGAATAATTTCTAAAATGTGTACATTAAATTATTGAACATTAATGATATCTGCAGTGTATTTATGTTGGTTCTATTCTGTTTACCCCTGGGGGGTTATTGCTGCTGTCCCTGCTCTCATCCATGCTAGGCTGCATGGATGCACAGGGAGTTCTCGCCCAGAACAGAACCATACCGCCAATCCAAACTGTATGCTAATTGTCAATCATGTTTGACAATAGTGGTCCTGACAGAAGTAAAATTTTACTGTACATAGAAGATTCTTATGTGAACACACTCACAAAAGTCAACAAATTAAAACATATTTTAAGTTCTTTACATGCCAGACACTATTGCTTTTTCCCGCTCGCTCTTTAACGTGAACTGAAAGTGCAGCAGGTAATCAGATGAAAAGCCTGAGGCTTCAACATAAGGAGCTGATGAAAGCTGATGCCTGTCTCTTTGACTTTACATTTGCAAACCAATGAATGTTTCTTGTATTTTAGTACTTTATCATGCAAACTCACTGTCAAAAATGTGTTTTTTAATAAGTCTTGTTGCACATGCGTGTTTCTTGAAGGATGATCGCTCTTATTAGCTTTCAGTTCTAAAAGAAAGTTGCAAAATGTTTACTGAAAGGGTTAGGGGATAGAAAATAGCATTAACTCTGTAAAACAACAACAACAACAACATTACGCCTATTGAAAGTCTTTGTACTAATAGAAATACCGACATGTGTGTTTCAGATGATGAGTGAGAAGGTGGGAGGTGCAGAAGGAACCAAATTGGATGAAGACTTCAAAGACCTTGAGAGGGTAACACATTTTTAACATTCATTTTCCAATGTCAATGTTCAAGTTCTCCTAAATGCAACCTAAACTTCCTTTTTTCTACTTACTGAAAGTAATTCAACCATAACATTGACCAGAAACATCCTCTACACAAACACAAAGATGTGAATGACTGGTCAAAACAAATTCATTGTGGAAAAAAAATGAACTGGCAAATAATTGTATAGGATATGAACTATCTACTTCCGCTTAGCACAAACTGAAATGCAGTCACAAAATTGCTCATTCAAGTTCAGATAATTGTTGGTAGTAAATGATGAACAAATGAAAAACAAACACAAAGGCCTTATAATTAGTTTTTTGAATGTTTTGTGATTGTGTCTTTTAAATATAATGTTAAAAAGCCCATTAATACCCATTTTATCCTCCAAAATCAAAATTGTTTTGCTTAATTGTAGGATCATATTGACAAGACTGGCTTTAGTAGTTCTTGACATTAGATTGGAGTCATTGGACTAAAAAAGTGGCTAATACCACTTCCACCCAAAGTACGTTAGCTATGCATAACCGGAAGTTCCTCCACCTAGAGAAGTAGCCCAACGTCAAAATGACTACTCGTACAACTTTACAGCTTATGGTGTAATTTTACTACATAATTCCAGTAAGAGATTTAACATTAATACAAGCTTCACATTTCTGGTTTAAATACATTATTTGCATTATTTTCTGTGGTAAACCACAGCAGGCCACAGTCTGTTGAGTTTATGTTGTAAAGAACCCAGAATATTACTTTAACTTGGTATCAGTCAGCTTCCTGAATGGCTGTTGTTTTAGTAGGTGTGACCACTGCTGATTGTTCCAGGTCTGTCTGTGAGAGCTGTAAATGAACGATTAATGAGCCGCCTCTGTTGACAGTGTGATGTAAAGACCCACACCTGTTCTCTGACATTTGTGCTTCACAGAAAGCTGACGTCTCCAGCAAAGCCATATCAGATGTGCTCTGCAAAACTACCGAATACCTGCAGCCTAACCCAGGTGAAAACATGGACTAAATTAATAAAAACAATTGCATTGCATCACTTGTTCACCAATGGACCCTCTGCAGTGAATGGGTGCCGTCAGAATAAGAGTCCAAACAGATGATAAAAACATCACAATAATCCACACCACTCCAGTCAATTAACATCTTAAGTGAAAAAAACTGTGTTTGTAAGTACAAAAACGATCATTAAGATGCTTTTAAAGGGGTCATATGATGCAATTTAAATTTTTCCTTTCTCTTAAAGTTGCAAAGACTAAAGTCTCAAATCCAAAGAGATATTCTTTATAAAAGTTAAGAGTCAACCACGCCTACCTAAAACGGCTTATTCTAACACACCCCCAGATGTCTACATCACGATGTGGGAAGATTTGCATAACACCGCCCAAATGTTCACGCAAAAAAAGAAGGTGTAACTTTAATTCTTGCTGTTGAATCATCAATGGCAAATTATTTAAATATAAAAAAACGTACTTGCAGGCTGTGAGTCAGACGCGCCAGACTGTCCTTGCAAAGTTGGAATTGCATTTGTGCCACAGACGCATTGTAGGCTACTGGTTCAGGAAACAGTCCTTATCCTCCATAAAGGATGGAGCTTTAAGGATGGACCTCCATAAAGGATGGAGCTCCGCTGCCATGTTGTGGAGTCGCTGTGTGTTTCGTTTTCGTCACTTTGTTTGGACTTCCAAAAGAGGACACAACTAGAAATCAGTGGTTAAGTTGTATTTACAGCACTGTTCCAGAACACTTCAACCCAAATATTCAGATGTGTGCTGCGCATTTTATGGAGGATAAGGACTGTTTCCTGAACCAGTAGCCTACAATGCGTCTGTGGCACAAAGGCTGTTTCTATAAAGTTGGGCAATTCCAACTTTGCAATGACAGTCTGGTGCGTCTGACTCACAGCCTGCAAGTACGTTTTTATGTTTAAATAATTTGCCATTGATTCAAACGTGAGTTTTGAGCAGTGTAGAGTAGGCATGTTGTACATGGAGGAGAAACAATAATGTACAGTATGTGGAAAATAATGTGTTTTTTTTACCTTAAACCGCATAAACACATAGCATTACACCAAATACACAAAATAATGTTCTTTTTAGCAACATCATATGACCCCTTTAACTTAAAACAATTGTTTTCTGATGGCACCCATTCATTGCAGAGGATCCATTGCTGAGCAAGTGATGTAATGCTAAATTTCTCAAACTCATCTACATCTTGGATAGCAGGATTTTTTTTTTCATTAACTATTCCTGTAGTTGACTTTAAAAATGGACACTTAATATTTTAGTTATTTTGTTTAAGTAAATGTATCTTGATTTAATTATGTTTAGAGATTTATTCTGGAAAACAAGACAAAATATTAAGAATAAGAAATTCTTTATTGTAGTGTATATTTCTTTTCATTCATCTGTCTGTCTGTTTTGTACTGCAGCATCACGAGCGAGGCTGACCATGGTGAACACCATGTCTAAAATGCGCGGGCAGGTGAAGAGCCCAGGTTACCCGCAGGCAGAAGGCCTTCTGGGAGAGTGTATGCTCAAATACGGCCGAGACATGGGAGAGGACACCAACTTTGGTGAGAGGAGTGTTTTTCTTACAAGCAATTACAAAAAACTGTAATTGGAAACAATTTCATTCATATTATTTGCCCAAAGCATAAAAATCATTCTTGCAGTAACATGTACCAGCACAAACAAAAAATCTATTCAGATTCTCAGCATCTAATTTTTAGAGTCCTGTCAAACATCTGTGATTAATCTTTATGATATAAGTGTATTATGTTTTCTTTGTTTATACAGCTATTCTAAAATCTTTTAATTTGTTTTTTTTTTACATAAGATTTTTGTGCATGTTCTCCACCCAATCTGTAGGTGGCGCTTTAGTGGAGATGGGAGAGGCCATGAAGAGACTGGCAGAAATCAAAGACTCTCTAGACATTGATGTCAAACAGAACTTCATTGACCCTTTCCAAACTATAATCGACAAGGACCTGAAAGACATACAGGTGGAAAACTGCAGTCAAACTACTATCAGTTGCACTCTAAAAGTTTAGTAATTTAAAGGGGACATCAGATGCCCATTTCCCACAAATTGGTATATTGGAATTTTTAGCATCTTCATGAAATATCTGCAACATATTTTGGTTAAAATTCCTCAATGGTTGTGAAAAACAACCAGTGGCGGCTCGTGGGTTTTAAAATAGAGGCGGCACACTAATTGTATTGTTCTGGGATCCCTGCCTATTATTATTATTTGCTTAACTACTTTAAAATGGCTTTTTGGTTGCTTTTAGTCAGAAAACGCAAAGAAAACGACATACATACAGCAAGATAATATAATTTCACTTACCTGGACTATCACTTGAAGCAAACATCCAACCCTTCTTAAAAGTCTGTTAAAAGAGAGCTGCCTGTTGCGCCATTTAATTAAGCCGTCTGCTGTAGCCTATATCCAGTTTAGGCTGTTTTCCCTAAATTTGTATACTGTTTGAATGACAGTTTGGTAAATCTGTTGGCGATCAAATATTCAATATCGCTACTCATAAGTACTTGGTACATTATCAGCGCAGCAGGAGACGTTCAAACTAATATCACGTAATTTACGTCTTTGTGATGATTGGTTGATATCAGAAGGAGGCTAGCCTCCCTTGCAATGTTTCTTTTCTCAACACTCCTCAGCGCTGAAAGTGAACACTCGATGCTGATTGGCTAATTTTTTTTTACCAACGGAGGCACGAGAGCTCCGTGCTCCCCCAGCCTCTCCCTCACCTTCTCTATCACCTAGCGGTTGTAATTACATCAGCAGATTCGGCACATTCGCGATAGAAAAGCAGTGCTTTCACGTTATGGTATTACAACTGTGAAATTACAAACAAAAAATACACATTCTGAGACATGAACTGAAATTAATTGTGAATTTTATTAACATTAAATCGTCCTCCTCCCATTTTCACCTCATAATTATGGGGAGGCTGTGCCTCCCCTGCCTCCCCTGCCTCCCCTGACGAGCCGCCACTGCAAACAACACCCTTTTTACCTTGTCAAAAACAGCCCTGTTCACAGCGAGCCGTTTTGGTGCATGTCTCTTTAAATGATAATTAGCTACTGCTCACCCCACCCCTTTCTTCTGTTTCTTGTTTATTCGATGGTGTTACCATCAAAAACAAAGCTAATCCACTGCATCCTCCGCATACAGCGTACAACTTTCTGAGGGGCGGAAATATGCCAATACGGGACAGTCCGTCAGTGTTCGTGGGTGCGGCCTGAGCAGTATGACATCATACTGTTCAGAAAATCAAAACGGCTTGATAATTGAGAATGTTAAAATTTTTTGGGGATTATATAAAAAGGAGTGAATGGGTTTTTGTCATTGTAGGGTGGTTGTGTCCACACACTGCTAAAACACATTTATATGCAAACACCATGTAAAAGTGATATTTGCATCCGATGTCCTCTTTAAATATGTATGAGTCATGGGCTAAATGTATGAGCATTTGTTTCATATTGTAATTATGGGTTGTTAATAGTAGCAATATGCTGTTCCTCAGCATTATCTGAAGAAACTGGAGGGCCGTCGACTAGATTATGACTACAAGAAGAAGCGTCAGGGGAAGATTCCGGATGAGGAGCTCAGGCTAGCAGCAGAGAAGTTCGAAGAGTCCAAAGAAGCAGCTGAAACCAGCATGCAGAACCTTCTGGATACTGACGTAAGTTCACTTCAGCCTATTAGAGTCTCTGAGCCCCTCCTTTTTAAAGGAGACATATTATGCCCCTTTTTACAATATGTATATAAGTCTCTGATGTCCCCAGAATGTGTCTGTGACATTTCAGCTCAAAATACTCCACAGATAATTTATTATATCATTTTGAAAATGCCTATTTTGAGTGGAAGCAGAAACACGCTGTTTTTCAGGCCTGTCTCTTTAAATGCAAATGAGCTGCTACTCCCCGCCCCCTTTTCCAGAATAGAGCTGCGCCATTACAGCTCGGACCTGCTAAAAACATCTGTTTTGGTTCTGATTATCATGTTTATCGCACTGAAATCATGCGTTTTAAACCATATGAGTTTAAACTTCTGATATACGGTTTTCTGAGTGCACACGGACAGAAAGCGGCTGTCACAGCATGTGAGTACTAAACTAAGTTCTCATTCACACACAAGTTTACGTTAAAAACACAAACAGTCGGTTATGTCTGTGAATTTAAACAGCTGGGAAATAAATCGCTTGTTTATTTTAGATCTGTGTGGCAGCAGCAATATACAGTAAATAAATCAATAAATCCACTGCTGTCTTGTGTCCTCTGAGGCTGGGACTGTAAATAGTGTTCTGTGCTCGTCTGTGCAGCCAAAGACAGAACAGTTAGCATGTTTTGCTCAAACTTTCGCCATGGCGTTAGAACTGGTACACCGTTCAATCAAAATGACAGCGCTGTGGGTGGAAACTTACAGATTAAGGGGCGGTAATATTATAATGAGATCACTTTGCAACGTCACCAAGGGAGCGAAATCAGACGCGCTCGTTTTCTCAGACACTTGCAGAAAAAGGCTTACCAAAGCAAAGTTACTGGGTTAATCTTTTTCACGTTTCCTTGGTTGGTAGATGCACCGGGGACCTGATTATAGCACTTAAAACCTGGAAAAGTCAGATTTTTATGATATGTCTCCTTTAAGATGCTGAAAGGTTTTGATATATGGATCTTGAGCTTTGGTCTCGTTCTTGACACTTAGGATGTGGTTTATTTTGGGCTGTTTTTAATGGTAATCAGACTTTGTCACAAATTGCTTTTGTAAAAAGCACCTGCCAAAACAGCAATGAAAATGTTGAGGTGTTGCCATTTAACTACAATTTCAAACTTTGTCATTGGAAAACGTTACAAAACTTGAAAATATCAAAACGATCTAAATAAAATTACAATTACAAAATACAATAAATTATACTGTATAATTATTTTGGTTGCTTAGATTCTTTTAGGCTGCTTAAAGTAATGAGCAATAGTTACAGTGATCCTTGTCTGAGAGAACAGCTCTAAAATTAAAATCAAATGGCCCCCTGTTGGAAAGTTTTTATAGTTCAGGACCAGGGAGTGTCATATAATTGTACTGTTGCTACAGTGATCCACATCAGTGAGTGCTGGATATTTTCCAGACAGTCTTCTGAGCCAACACATTTATCAGTCTGTTTTATCGACACGAGAGACTGTGAAAACTTTGGGATGTTTCTGATTATTTGCTACATTGGTCTTAAACGCAGGCCTGTAATTAATCAAGGTCATTAATGTATGCTAACAAAAGGTTCTTCAATTTGCTATGCGTGTACCTTGCAAATACCATGGTACAAGACAGTAGTAGTCATTCAGTTCAGTATATAACAAAGTAACATGGTATGACTGTACCATGGATATCCATAAATATTTACTGCATTTTGCATATTGCATCTTAAAAAAATGCACATGATGTATGACATTAAACTAAAGTATGACTCTTTTGGGTCAACATAGGAATGTTCATTCTCACTTCATTTTATAAAAGTGTTATGATTTATGATTTGGATATAAAGCTCCTTCCAGCTGTTTTCAGGAGCATATTTTGATATTTCATTTTTACATATAACTGTACTTATAAACTCTTCAGTATGACTCCTCAAAGGGTTAAGCCCTAGTTTTAATTTATTGATGCAATGTTAGTTTTAACATTGGGTTGTTGTGATGTTTATGCTGTGGAAAACAGTCCTGTTTAAATATCATTGAGATACTATTGTCGCTTTTATTATTGTTTTGAATCAGTCTTTATTTTTCCGTTATCATTTTAAAGTTTTGGTAATTTTGTTGTGCATTTTTGTTATTTTTAATATATATTCTTCTAATAAAATTCTATTCATTATTATTTAAGTTATAGTTTTTATTTATTAAATTAAAATGTTGACTTGGCAATCTGTTGAATTAAAAAAAAATATATATATTATTTTATTTTATTATTTTATTTCAGTTAACGTTTATTTTATTTCAAATAACGAAACTTGAAACTAGTTCAATTATAGTTTCAGTTTTAGTTTTCTATAATAAACCTAGCAGACAGCCACAGGAGTGTAGAGTGTCCCGTTTGTCATTTCATAGAGTTTTAAGGTTTATAATAAGGTTTATGCCAAAAACAAGAAAAAACTGTTTACAAGTTTACTTACTGAGATGTGTTTCCTGAATGCTGAAGCCCTTGTGACATAGCAGAAATAGAGATGCAAAATCAGGCACAGTGACGCGTAAAAGAAGCTTACAGACTATAGCTCTTTATTCTAAGGCAATAACATCTTTTCATGTTCTGTATGTGTGTGTGGCTGTGCGTTGTATGCGTGCTTTGTAGGTGGAGCAGGTGAGTCAGCTCACAGCTTTGGTCGAATCTCAGCTGCAGTTTCACAGACAGTCTATGGAAGTCCTGGAGGAGCTGGCACAGAGAATGAGAGAAAGGTTAGAGATGAAAATCCATTGTATCTTTCTGTCTTCATCACAAAAATAAATATTTGTCATGTCATTCCAAACCTGTTTGACATTGACGCATAAGGAGAAATTTTGATTCATGTTCATGGTCATTTTTTTCTATGCGGTTACAGTGAATGGGGACTAAAGCGTTCAAGCTACAAATAGACTGCAAAAGTATCGTAACAACAATATTACAGAAATCCATATGGCCTCTGCACTTTCTTCAAGTGCTCTGTATATAATAAATTCATTTTTCGCTGAAATGTTTTCAGCCTCTTTCTCCTGATAGATGGTTTACCTGTTTGTGTTTGCATGCATTTGTGTTCATGTTTGCGTATGTGCTCTGCAGAGTAAACAAGGCCCAATCTCAGCCGCGCCAGAAACGGATGCCTGTGTCCAGACCCAGTTTTGATTGCTCCGAGCCGGAAGACTCTAACGGAGGCTGGAATCCGTCAGCTGCGCCACCCTCGTATACATCCGCAGGTGAGCTCTCCCTGTTCATTTACATAAGGCTTCAAGTAATCGTTCACCCAAAAATAAAAATGTGCTGAAAGTTTACTCCCTCTCAGGCCATCCAAAATGTAGAGTTTATTTCCTCATCAGAACAGATTTGGAGAAATTGAGTATTCCATCACTTGCTCACCAATGGATATTGTGCAGTGAATGGGTGCCGTCAGAATGAAAGTCTAAACAGCTGATAAAAACATCACAATAATCCACACCACTCCAGTCCATCAATTAACATCTTGGGAAGTGAAATGCTGCATGTTTGTAAGAAACAAATCCGTTGCTTCCAGCTAAAGTCTATAACCCATAATAATGCTTCCTTAGTGAAAAAGAGTCTTCTCGTCTGAACCATGAGAGAAATATGAGTTGTTTTAAGCACTGTTTATAATAGTAAACAGTCAAAAACTGTTCTAAACAAATATTTCGGTAGATTTTGATGTGAGAGGACAACAGGGGATGGACTTTCACTATAGGAATAATAACAGTTTTTATTAATTATGGACTCATATTTTGACCAGAAGCAAACGTATGATGTTAAAATACCTTAATGATGGATTTGACGGCACCCATTCACTGCAGATGATCCATTGGTGAGCAAGTGATGCAATGCTACATTTCTCCAAATCTGTTCCAATGAAGAAACAAACTCATCTACAACTTCATTTTTGGGGAACTATTCCTTTAATAATAGAAATGAATCAACAGCAGAGATGATGTGTTTTAACACATGCAGACCTTACTGTAAATTAAACAACATTTTTGAAGTGGCCTAGATTTGATTGGTAATGGTAGATATGAAAAGACAAAAGCCATTATGTGTGCAAAAGACAGAGCTACCTTAAGGAAAGGTTAATCACGCAATGGAATGGTCTTCCTGAATAATGCTTTGACTCACACATTACAGCTTTTTCTTCTGAAAATCTTTTTAATCAAGAGAAAGGGTTAATGGAAATCAGTCAATAGGTCATATTCACCGATTTATGTAATGCAAATCTCTGCAGATTTCCACAGACTGAGAGTTTATTCTCATACAGTCACTAGTTTCCATGGAGACAAGACAAGATAACGCAATTGATTAACAAACACGTTCCGAATGGAACACTGCATGTTGTACAGGGTGTATACTATATAATACTTAGTATTTTAAAATATTGGCTTTCCAAAACCTATGCCAGTCTGGCTGGCCAGACCGTCAGCGACTTACTAAGCAGAGTTTTGATTTTGTGTATATGGAAACAGACTGTCTGAGGTTTCAAGCAGCCTTCCAAGGCACAATAAAGTCATGTCTAATGATCTAGAATAAACTGAAGTGAGCTTTAGTCATAGCAAAGCCAATATTTACTGACTAAAATGCTTATTTCTCGTAAAAGTTTATTCATATGCTGAAAAGATGATGAACTAGATGACAGCATTTTCTTTCAGCCATTCGCTGATTCACACTCTGAATTGTGTTGTCCTTAACATCCTTTTACTTAAAATCAGGATTCAGACAAACATGGATGCCTTTTTGTCTTTCTTACCTTCTTACGTTAAGCGTTTTCAGGCCCAGACATTACTCAGTACGCAATGCGCACCATTAAACATTTGAACATACATTGGCTCAGGTGGCATTTTGGAAATAACATTTTATTAAAGGGGTCATATGATGCGATTTCAATTTTTCCTTTCTCTTTGGAGTGTTACAAGCTCTTGGTGCATAAAGAAGATCTGTAAAGTTGCAAAGACTAAAGTCTCAAATCCAAAGAGATATTCTTTATAAAAGTTCAGAGTCTGCCACGCCTACCTAAAACGGCTCGTTCTAACACGCCCCCACATATCTAGGTCACTATGTGGGAAGATTTGCATAACGCCGCCCAAATGTTCACGAATAGAAAGGAGGCGTAACTTTTAGTCTCACTGTAGTTTTGTTGACGCTGCAGCCATGTCGTGAAGACGCTGTGTGCTTCGTTGTGAAAGCGAAACTACTTTGGTTGGTCTTCCAAAAGAGGACGATATCCGCTTCGTCATGCCTAGAGCTGATCCGTGCTGGTCGCTGAGGGAATACATCAACTTTCACCGTGGACGAAGCGGAATCCAGCCCGGGGTCCGTCACATGTGGTTGCCGCTCATTCGTCGGATCCCCCAGCCGTTCTCGACCCCGCCGCATCAGCTCACGCTAGCCCGGCCTGAGCGCACGCTAAGCCGGGGCTTCCCCTCACGCTAGGTCGCTGTTTTTTGTTGTGAAAGCGAAACTACTTTGTTTGGTCTTCCAAAAGAGGCGGGGTATAGAGGAGAAACAATAATGTACAGTATGTGGAAAATGTTTTTTTTTTTACTTTAAACCGCATAAACACATTTCATTACACCAAATACACAAAATAAAGTTCTTTTTAGCAGCATCATATGACGCCTTTAAAATGCAAAATAATTGTATTTGTATAAAAATCTTCCCACTTGGGAGTTGGATCAATTATTGAGTCAAGAAAGTGATGTTTAACATAATGCATCATTCATCACTGAAAAAGGAAGGTAGAATTGAATGCATTTCAGAGTTATATTATTTATATACAATAGTATCTATTAATATATTAAATATAGATTTTAATTTTAATTTAAGTTTTAGACATTTTGTGTGCTTTTGTCATTTTCATTATTTTTTTAATTCTATTTAGCTTTATTTATTTTTAGATTTATTTATAGTTTTAGTAATTGTAGTACTTCTCAACTTTCCAAGGCAGCATTACTCAATTTTGTTTGTTTCTTTAGGTTTAAGCTTTAAATCTAAATTTTTTTAAATTATATTTTATTTTATTTATTTCCAAACATTTTAATTGGTTAAATTGAGTGCAGTGCAGTGTTATATACTATTATAGTATTTATTAATGTTCTGAATCATTTTAAGTTTATTTTTATGTTTTGTTATATGCTTTTGTCATTTTTATTTTTTTAATATTTTTATTTAGCTTTATTTGTTTTTATTTATTTAAATTTTTTTTGTAATTTGTTATTTTTGTTTTGTAATTTAGCACTTTATCTTAGATGTATTTATTTAAGTTTTTTTTATTTGCTCCAGTTAACCATAACAACACTGGTGCATTGCATTGTGGGATATAGTATCTGTTGCAGTGTGCTCTGTTGTGTACAGCGCATTGTCCTGAATGTGCATAGAAAAAATTCACATTATACATCCTACTGAAGCAGTACACGTAATACTGTGTGAAGATGAGCTTGTCGTGCATGTTTGTGTGGATGGATGTGTTTTTGAAGGCTGTTCCAGCTGGTTTTCACTGTGAAAGACTGTGTGGAGCCAATCAAAGACTGACTATTGTTTTTCCTTCTTTTACGTCAGCGGCCCCCTCCTTTAACAGGACATCCTCACGCCAAAAACGCAATTGTGAGTCACACACAAACAGACACTCGGCATGGTGAAGGGCTTTTATTCTGTGCCTGATTATTTCCAGCTTCAAATCATACTGAAAACGCTAAATGCACTCACACACATAACAAACCCGTGATGAGCACAGACAGATCACTCGTGTATGAGATGCTCTGTGAGTGTGACACGTTTAGTTTCCCTTCATAAGATTAATCAAACATGTGCTCAATCTACCACATGTTGAATTATCCACCGGGGAGCTCGTTTAGCTCAAAAATGAGTTATTTATTAAACCCTGCATGAACAGTTTAAGAACATCTCATCTCACACATACAAAAACAAGCTTTTTCCAAACCCACTGATCTGCCTCGCTGTCTGCAGCCTACATAGGGTATCTTCGAAGACAGCATCCTAACCTAAATGCAACTTTCTAAGTGACTGATTTGGAACACGCTACATACAGTGGGGCAAAAAAGTATTTAGTCAGCCACCAATTGTGCAAGTTCTCCCACTTAAAAAGATGAGAGAGGCCTGTAATTTTCATCATAGGTATACCTCAACTATGAGAGACAAAATGAGAAAAAAAAAATCCAGAAAATCACATTGTAGGATTTTTAAAGCCCCACTGTAGGCAGCACACGCACCACAATTTGCAGTAATTCCTATACATTAATGCTAACATTTAGTAATTACATTAATGTGGTTTGATTTGAAGTGTTCAGCGAGTGTTGTCTAGCATGTGGTGGGTTTGGATTGCTTAAAAGCTAATATAGATGGTTTTGGGACCTGTATGTTTGGAGGTGGCCGAACTGTCCATTTTCGTCGGTAAATCCTACTTTGGTTAATGCCTTTTGCATGAAGGCTGTAGTGCAGGTGCATAAAATGCTAAATCTTTTTGGTCAATTTTCATTAAAGACGCAATTTCATTTCATTAGCACTTTCCACAAGTTGAGTACAAATGGCTCTCTCTTTTTTCCTTCTTTAATGAAGGCACAAATCCCAGGTTCTTTGGAGAGAGGACTATCAGATATGTTAGATAAACTATTGTCTAACATAAAATTAACATAGTATGGAAAGAAGCTAGTTTTAAAAATTCATGGGCTAATGTTCATTTTTGGGTGAGCTATCCATTTAACTACATTGAGTTCAACTCCACTTTCAAAATTATTAATAGAAAAATGATTCAGAAAATATTTTTATAAACCAACACCGTACCACCTTGTTACCCATTGTAGTGTATTTTATTTTAGTATAAATAATTATTAAATATAATATTGTTTAAAATAAATGTATAGAAATATATTATTTATAATTTTATAAATTAAATATATATATATTTTTTTTTTTTCATTTTGTATTTTTAATTATTATTATTATTATTTCATTTATATGTAAAGTTTTGTTTATTAATGCAATTTTTCATTATTTAACTTTTTTCCTTTTAGAAATTCATTATGGCAATTCACTTGTTAAAATTTCTTACCGTGTTTACTGCTAGATATATCAAAATGAGACAAATCAGTATTTTCAAAATGTATTTTATTATTTATTGAATTTAGATTTTTTTTTTGTCATTATTATTTTGTTTATAATTAATGTTACTTATTAATATTTAACTTTATTTATTAACCTAGGATTTATTTTTTATATTAATTCAGTTGTTGTTTATTGCTAAAATAAAAAAATGAGTGTTTTGAAAATTTAGTTATGTAATATGGTTATGTAACAAATTTTCGCTAATACTTTATTCAACTAAAAATAGCATACATACATTTTTTTTGGTCAGTTTCAAATCCTGTTTTTGTACCATTTGTTCAAAGTAGCCATTAAATAAAACCCGTTTTCATTTGATGTTCCATGTGCACTTGAAATAATCTCTCTTCTAATAGTTACTTTTTCCCCCCTCTCTCTCTCTGTGCATCTTCACCTTTTATCCTCTCTATTCTCATTCTTTCTTTGGTCTCCATAGCGACAGATCAGCCCTGCTGCAAGGCTCTGTACGACTTTGAACCTGAGAACGACGGAGAGCTTGGCTTCTGCGAGGGCAACGTCATCACACTGACCAATCAGATAGACGAGAACTGGTTCGAGGGAACCGTGCACGGCCAGTCCGGATTTTTCCCCTGTAGCTACGTAGAGGTGATGGTGCCGCTGCGGCACTGATCTCACACAAAACAGGAAGAGGAAGTGCAATGGCTGGTACAGACATGGAGAAAGGGAAAATCTGTGACTTGTATTTCACTATGAGCACTTTGACCTCCTGAGAGAGATGTTGGATAATATACAGTAAGTGTCGGGGTTATTATTTGTTACTTTTGGGTTCCGGTCCAGCGTTTTAGTTTATCTTAGGAAACACTAGCATTCCCCAAAGTACAATAAACATTGAGAAGTATGTCAAGGATAAATCCATTTTGGGAGTGTTCATTCTAGAGGCAAATGGATTTTATTTTGCCATCAGTTTCCTATAATGATGTTACTAAGAAGTGTCTTCTGTTGGCAATCACTGACCTCTAGTGGCCGCATTTGTATATAACAGTTAAAAATGCTGCCTAGCGTTTGTCAATCACGGCTCAGCTCTTTCTGAATGGCACAAAGCTCAGTGTGTTTGAATATAACTTATTTTACTTCAAAATGCAGTTGTTAATTTGAATCTCATGACTGTTTACCTAAACCTTTCCTATTAGCTTTAGTTGTATTGGGTTTGGTTAATTTCCCTAAATGGGATATGCACCCAAAAAATATAAATTCTGTCATCATTTACTCACCCTTGCATTCTTTCAAATCTCTGAACTGCTTTTAGCTTTTGAACACAAAAGAAGATATTTTGAAGAATGTTGGTTACCAAACAGTTGACGGTAGCCATTGAATTCCATATTATGGGAAAAAAAAATACTATGGAAGTCAATGGCTACCGTCAGATGTTTGGTTACCAACATTCTTCAAAATACCTTCTTTTGTGTTCGACAGAAGAAAGAAACTCATAAAGGTTTGGGGCAAGTGGAGGGTGAGTAAATGATTACAAATTTGGGTGAACTATCTCTTTAAATGCACTTTAGCTGTGCATTAATAATTAGGTGAGGAGTTGACTTTAGCAACAAAACAAAAAGGGAGGTCAACCGATAAATAAACTGTCTTTGCATGAGCATCAACAGCGATAATTTACTCAAAAAAAAAATAAATAAAGTTTTATTTTCTCACCCGCATGTTGTTCCAAACCCATCCAGTTTCATTATATTGAAGAGTCATATGGTTTTGAATGACATGAGGGTGAGTAAATGAAACTATTTCTTAAAGTGATCACTTCCTGCTAGCAAATTCTGTTTTTAATGAGTATGTAAATGAGGTAAATCCCAGCTGTTTGATGAACCAGAAGTACCAGTTTGTGTTTATGTACACAACAGTCATTTTTACTTTTCTTTTTCCTGCATGATACCATCCCTCGTTCTCTTTTCTGGAAAAGGGAACCTTTATAAATCCACTTCTGCACTGTACCCGTGTTTCTGAGAAGTATAGTGGGACTTGCACACACAATTAAAAACCTCAGTTTACAGATATTAGAGCTCAGCGTGGATGTTGAGTTCTTGAAAAGGGAAATTAAGTGTGTGAACCACTGTTGTGATTCTGTGTTTTAAGCCCAGATTGTTTGTCGTCTGGATTATTATGGCTTTAATTGGTTTCACTTCCTCAAAGAAGGAAATCAGAAGTTCCTCTATCACTGATTCTGGTTCAGGCTCTATTTCTCAGGGAAAGGTGCGTCTGCTGTAATCCTACTGTACAGAGAATCTCATTGGGACTCATTCATAATATCGAACATGTTAGAACAAAACCAAAAAAAGACATTCTTGCCTAAAGTGCTGACAATTGAAATTTGTTTCATAAACTGTACCAAGCAAATGTTTACATGGTTCTTATACCTTTATATTTGTGAATTTTGCTAGTCTTTTCATTGCATCTTGACGAGTGAAATCTTGAAAACTGGGATCAGGTTGTAATCTGTCCAGAGTTACTGTAGTAAAAGTAGAAAATCAGAGCTGTCGGAAAGCGTAATGCCCAATGTTGTGCATCATGATTGTCACTAATAGGTCAATAAGGATATACCACAGCATATTCAGAAAGAATGAGATTTCAGCAGCTAGAGATCCTGCCATCACCTTTTTGGATGTGCCTTTTTTCTCTTTTACTTGTGTAATTACATTTGCATTAGTGAGCAGATCAGATTTCATGTAATTCAGTTGTTTAATCCCGAAAGGAACCAGTGTGAACAGCTTTTAAAAAGTACAGTATAAACGTTTGTGTCATTGTGTTTCGGGTGAGGGATGTTGGTTCAAGGTTTCAGGTTCAGGACTTGCTCTGGTAACCCTATTTTACCTTGCGCTGTTTCCTCTAAACTGCTTCCTACTGTATTACTGTACTCTCAACATCCTACGTGCCTTCTGATGTTGCTTACACTCTACACTTAACAGTACAAATATTTTATTATGGGTAGAATGTATTATATGTAATGGAAAACCTTGTTTGTGTATCTATAAATCAAGATTTATAACAATCAGAAAGTGTTTCAGAAAGAATGCTTCTTTGAATCAGTATTTCCTGCCTAATCCATATGTGAATTATGTTTTATTTTAAAAACTGTGCAGGGTTAAGAGAACATTGTATATTTTCATTTTAAATAAAGGTGGAAACTATAGCTGTCTGAGTTTACTCTTGGTCAGCGATCATTTTGAGCAGGTTTCTCTCAGCAGCGAGTGTGAATGTGAAATGAAAAGCGTGGACAGGATCCGGAGTGGAGTGATTAGAACACGTTCAGCAGGGAGGTGTTAGTTTTTGCGCTCCACTCATAAAAAAAAAAAAAAAAAAAAACCAAAAAACAGGCCAAAAGGGGTGGGCGGG